ACCGGTCAGATGGACTTCTCATGTAGGTGGCGTGCAATGCGGTTAATAAACCCACCTTTTGCTTGTTTCTCCCGCATGATAGCCGCTTGTGCTTCTTTCGTCCGCTGGAACTCGGTGCCGGACTGCGTATTCTTCTTTTTCTGTAGCCGAACAAATATTAGCCCAGGGCTTTATCGAGGCGAAACGCTCGGAAGGGGGGGGGGGGGGGGTCCGAACCTGTGAAGACTGCTCTTTGAGGTTCTTCTCGCGAGCCTTTTCTCTCTGGTTGCCTCGAGTCATGGTTGTGGCAGGTAAGCGAGGGTCGAGTCTCAGGTCCGCAAGTCGCAGGGCGTTCGAAAGACAGTCGTTGTTGCGTTGTTGCTAAGCGTCGGTGAGTAGCACAGGGATGGGGAAGGATAAAAAGGCCGTTGGTGGCAGCCTTGAGGGGAATGAGATGAGCCACGCTGAGGACCGCAGTTTGTTTGTCGGCAAAAAGAAAACGCGCACCGGGCTCGGGCCAATTTCAGCCTCAAGGCCCTTTCTCTTCATCTTCTTCACTGACAACCTCGACAATCCCTTGACTCTCGCTGTTGATCATCTTGTCAACAATCAGGTGCCGCGGTGGTCGGCGACAAACTGTTTCTCCCAAAATGCCACAAGGCTGTAGCATACCACCACCTGAAATGCCCCCGGCGTCAAGGGCCGCAAAAAAGGAAACGGGCCTCAAGTGCGTTTCAGATTCTGCCACCCCTCTGGACGTCGTTCAACCACAGCCACTCTTTCTGCTCCCCTCTCCCCGGCCTGAGGAAAACATGGCATCTGCAGCTGCTGCATGATTTTGTCCTGAATTGGGCATCGGTTGACTCGATCTCTCGGGATAACGCCGCCGCACGCCGCCGGTAAGAGGGACTTCCTTTCTGAAACTGAGTTCGAAGTCTTCTCAGACGGTGCACGCCATCTGGCCAATGGACACGTCCTTCCCGTGGGTTATCCAACCCAGATACTACAGCTTCATCTCGCGCTCGCGCTTGTTGCAGAGGTGACTCTGAGACTCTGGTTCTCGCAGAGGTCAATCGGTGAAAGGTCAAAAAGAGCCGTTGAAGAATTGTTCATGTCTGCCGCTCCCTCTTCTGGTGTTGGTCATATCTGCCTTTTTACTGTTTCTACTCCCTGTACATTCACTTCTATTGATGCTCTGGCTGCTCAATAGCCTGCTGCCATCCTATTGTTCTATTCATCAAAGCTTTCGAGCCTGTTAATTGAGCCCACAAATACCTTCTTGGGACCAAATTCCTGAACCCTTTCGCGATACTTTATCCCAGCAATAATTTCCCAAAAGTCAAGATCAAGGAATCCAGTTGCCTTAATCAACATCTCTTCACATCTCTTCTGCAATATGCTCTTCTTCGGCAAAACCCTGGCCGGCGCCGGCTACATTGTGCTCAACATCATCCGAGTCATGAACATAATCGCTCTTTTGGCCGTCATAGCGGCGAGTTCGGTCATGCTGGTCAAGACCTTCATTGTATCCAAGTTCTTCTTTTTCGATGCCTGCGAGCACGTTCTTCGAGTCATCATGAGCGGTAAGGCTCCGCACTGCGATTTTGCGGTGGCGATCTAATGCTAAGATGCTCCAGGATTCCTCATTCTCACCGAGCTCTCTCTCTTCAAGTCGTATTTCTCCAAGAATTGGCCTCTCTTCAGCGCTCGATCGAGTTTTGTCATGCTTGGGGCTGCCATGATTTTCTTGGGGAACAGTCTTCTTGGAAATCTCAACAAACATGCGACAAGTCAGGAAAGTCTGGGTCTGCCCTTCTGGCGGCTTGTGATTGCGGCAGGAATCATTGTATTTGTGATGGGCTTTATCAACCTCTTCGCCGTAAGTGGACTGGCGGCAAGAATTCACAGAGGAACACGGTTCTCATACGTTTGTCGCAGAGTTATATTTTCAGGGATACCAAAGCGCATCTCACCGCTCGGCAAGTGCGGTCTCACGGCGCCGTGGCATCCCACAAAGCAGACGTGGAAGCTTCTACTCCGAAACCTCCGAGTCGGAAAAGTCACTATCGGTCCTTCTTCCTGGGCAAAAGAGATTCACTGCCCTCGTATTACTCTCGCAAAAACACGGAGCGGTCCAACATGGCCGAGACACCAAAAATGCACCTGGCCATTTCCAGTCCATTCCCGCAAGACCAATCCCTGGCCCGCACAGCGCAGAGTCCCGGTGCGGCCAGCTCGAAGTACAGCCAAAGCCCCAAGAGTGAGCGATATGCGATGAGTCCTGAACTCAGCAGGCCGGATTTGGCACATCATCCCGCCATGACCCAAGGGCATGCTGTCTGAGAGGCCTCGAACAGAGAATGGGGAGTGACGAGAAGATATGGGACATGTATGGATGGAATACAAGGACCCTGGGGCTTGATCTCCACGGCATCGAACCCCTCTACTCCCACCGCGGGGGTTGAATTGGGAGGCATACCGAGAGGGATCGACAATGGATAGCCTTGCATGTTTTTGTTTCTATTTTGTGCTTGCAGCAGATACCCAGACCCAGACGGCAAGAAATAATCGGACATGACGAGTTACGAAGCAACAATCAAAGCATTAAAAGTTCTTTGACTATGCATTGGACACGCAGGCCTTGTGCCTTCTCTCACCAGTTGTCTGTTGTCACAAGCCTTACTGAGAGTCAAAGAGATAGACGCGGTTAGTAAGACGGACAAGCAAAGCCGTGAAACCGTCGGGCGCTGCCAGTTGGGGAAGTTGAATCCATTCATCGCAGTCAGTGGCTTGAATCGTCGCTCGACTCTCAGGCTCAATCTCCCCTCCCCTCCTTTTCTGTCCCTTTCGCCCTCTCTTCGCAATTCGCCACCCCTTTCTTTGGCCTTGTCCCGTGTGCGCCCCTCGCCCCCCTTTCACCCCTCTCCTCCCACGTACCTACTGCATACCCATCCCATTGTTATCCTATCCCGTTCTCCACCCCTCACCTTGGCCTCCACAGCCGTTTCTTTAGCAGACTCCCCGGCGCCGCGCACCATGCACGCAGGTGCATGTACCTCTCCAGATCAGGACACCTGACTACCCAGCAGGGAAGTCCGAGCTCGAGTTTCATGTCCCAGCAGTGAAAAAATCGCCACTCAGGTGGGGTGTTGGGCTCTGTCAAGCTTTTTTTGCTTTGAGCCATCAACCCGTGGGTTTCCAGTGGTATGTACCGTTTGGGCTGGAGGGACAAGGTACAAGCACCCAGTCCCATGCCCAGTCCCGGCCAGAGTTACGGGTGGCGGATGAGGTACCACGGCCATCTTGTAAGGACGGGCGCGCGTACCACGGGTGCCGGAGTAATATATATCTTATGGATACTTGGTCTACTTTTGCAGATCTCGGGGGATCTCCATCTCCGAGGAAAAAAGTCGTCCACCATCCATCGAACAATGTTGATAACCCCTGCTTACAAGTCCAGCCGCCGATCAGAGCCGAGAGGGAGAAAGGCAGGGGAGGGACAAAGAGGACAGATACAAGGTCGAGAGGTCCAGAGAGATCAGAGGCGAAGAGTTGGAGGTCCAGACTGCTCCATATTCCAGCTCCTCGCTGCCCCAATCATGCCCGCCGCTTCTCGAGCTCCACAAGGTACGTACCTAAGTAAAACCCAGACAACCGGCAGGCCGAGCGGCCTGGCCGCCAGTAGGAAATGCCAGTGGTCCACCGTCCATCCCCTCTCTCCTGTTCAGCTCCTGCACGGCCTCCCGCGCTCCCGAGCTCTTGTGGTGTTGCTGCTGAGAAAAGAAACCCGGCTTGACCAGGTTCACTCGCAACCAGCCCCTCCTCTCTCCAGGGCCGGCGCCACCACCACCACCAAAGCGGCTCGATCCTAGGTCGGGCATTTCCCTCCCTTCCCTTGCTCATCCGCCCAAAACAGCAGGAACAAACCTTGGGTCTTTGAGGGCTTCTGGCTCGTTTGACTTAAGATGGGCGAAGAGGATAGAGCCCGGCAGCCAAGATGTCGGTACTTTGTTTCTGGTACTCGTTCTTCATTCACCAGTATCTCGTGTCGCCACCACGTGTGATTGACAGTGTCCACAGTAATACATGAGTCTAGTCAAGTGCCCACTCGCCACCTACGTAGGTATCTATCTATCTGACAAGAACAAGGGCATTGTAGTTAAAACCATAGAACCTATTGTGATTAATCATTTTAGCCCGGCCTTTTCATTGACTTAAACTATGTCACTCGGTACCTCGCTTCTTATGCTTGTATGTATACCTAATTAGTTGTACTCCTTCGATATATGCATATGACTTGATGTCCAAGATCGATCATGCGCTGGTCCCTAGCCGTCCTCCTCCTCCTTCCTCTGACTCTGACTACCGCCACTGCCCATCCGCTGACCACTGCCTCTGAACCGCTTACTCACACTCCCCTCCACAGTACCCAAGTAGGGTGCCTATCATTCACGGAGGATTCCGTGCATATCTTTTACACACAAGCATTAAAGTGGGCTGGGAATTGTGTCTCCTTTTCACTTCTGTCATCATGCTCGATACCATGTCTCTGGTCCAGGCTGGAATCCATCCATGGGACCGACTCGCGGTATTCATGTACATGTTTCTCTCTTCGTGGTTTATTTGTCTTCCCTGCTTCTTGTACCACCATGCAGGGAAAAATTCGAAAGGCACGAGCTCGCCGCGCTGTTCTTGTATTCTGTTTGTCTGTATTCAAAAGCCTGAAATGGGATCATCACTATCTGAGGAGAGTATATAACTAGCCCCGATCGAACTGAACAGACCCGGTCTGTGGATCAACATACAACGTGATTCGTTTATCATTACTTCGTCCTTCGTTTGCATAAGTTGAGCCACCCACCCTGTATCATCGTCGCCGTCGTCGTCGTCGTAGCAACTGTTCCCAGCGGTCACACCCGACCTCCAAATCTTCACTATCGGGAAATCAAAACCCTCATTCCCCTTCACGCCACTTCATACTTGACCCGCTCTTCTCCCGCTACCCCTCCCGGCCATTCGTTTCAGGTAAAGATCCAGCTCGTCCTCTTCCCAGAGGGACTGCGACTCTTGCTCTTCTCCCGGACCACATACATCCTGTCTCCTTTCTTCACAAAACCGTGCTCGTTCGGCGTGAGAGTCGTGATCGTCTTAGTCTCCTTGACGTACGGCCCAGTGATGAGTTTCCTCTCCTTGATCTTGCGCGTGTGTTCGAATAATTCGTCTTGCAGCGAGTGGTCGATGTATTTCTTGATGATGATAAATTCTTCGTCGCGCTGTAAATGACAAAGCCAGAGAATTAGCAAAGCAGCGACGCCCAATCGGTGACACAGAACTCTCTGTGCTCTTGTAAAGGTAGTATGGGGGACAAAGCAAATGCGAAAACCCGGGACAAGGCGACTCGTGTGACTTGCACGGAAAACGGAGTTGTACATACCGGATCCCACTCCCAAGGCAACCCATAATGATCAAGCGTGTCTGGAAGGAGGTACTTGCGGTTGACTTTAATGTAGGTCGGACGGTGGAGGTCGATAGCCAGCGTTGCACGCTCGGCTTTCTTCTTGTGGAGCACTTCGTCAATGTACTCTGGGCTGTAACCTGTAATTCCCCAAAAAGAGCGACACAGATTAGCCTCTTGCTCAGTCCACAATCAAACCATTACCAATCAACCTGAATCGCCCTCCACAAGGAATGACCTTCATCCTGGAACCACCGCAAAACCCGGCGAGATGTATGCGTGGCCAGAGACGACTAATAGTAATCGTAAGAGTAGCGATGGGGCCTGCGCATACCAGCATTCATGAATTTCTCCTTGACTTTCCTCTCAAACTCCTCCTCCTCGGCCTTCTTCTTCTCCTTCTCCTTCTGTTGACGCTCCTCCTCGTCCCGGAGAATCTTCTTCCTCAATTCCTCTTGCTCCTTCTTCTTCCGCTCATCCTCCAACTTGGCTTCATAGAGGATGGCTTCTCTTTCCTTCTTCTTGCGCATGGCTTCTTCCTCCTCTTCTAGTTTCCATCGTCTCCTTTCTTCCTCCCGATCCCTCTTTATCCGATCTTGGATCCTCTTCTCTTCCTCTTCTCGGTGTGACATGCGGGCGAAGTCGAGTTCTTTTCTGAATTTGTAAGGTAGATCGTCTTCCTCGATTGGCTTTGGTTTTGGCTCTGGCTCTTTCTCCTTCTTGCTAGGACGGCGATGTCGTGATCTTGAACGGTCGCTAGAGTAACTGGAACTGGAAGATCCGTCTCGGTATCGGTGGTGACGGTAATCGCGGTGACGGCTTCGACTTCGACTATGATCACGGTCGCGGGAGCGGTCGCGGTCACGATCACCTCGCTCGGAGAGGGCACCAGCACCTATATTGACAATTGTAGGTGCCACGCCTGCGCCTTGGCTAGAAGCACGAGGGCGGTTTTGTGGCACCTCGAGGAAATTGTTGACCTCAATGGGTGGATCGTAGACTCGACGGCCTCGTCCTCCATATTCGCTGCCTGCAACACTGTGCACCGGCATCAACACATATTCACGGTCAGAGCCCGACGAGCGTCGTGAGTAGGCCATGGTTCGATTGTAGCCGTACCCCTCCAATTAGCGCTCTTTCAGCCCTAACACCAGGGTATGGATTAAATGGTCGGGGAGCTGGCGGTGGGGTAATCGTCCGATTGCAACGGGGTCTCTGGGCGTAACGATGTAGTTGAAGAGATAACGTCCGAACTGCCAAACGAGCCTCCAAATGGGCAGCGATGGTGTTGGTCTTCGTCACCTGGAGGTAGTGACAAAAAGTGAAGAAGAAAAATCTGGCACTCTGATTCAGCTTGTGGTGGGGAGGCTGCTTGCTTTTATCGTTTTCGTGCTGCAAGCCAGCGCTGCCAATCTAAGCCTGGATCGCAACCCACAAAACCAAGGTTGGGGGCCAGCGAACTAAAAGGGTCGGCTGTCAGGTATGGTATGCTGCCAATAATTGAGTCAGTCCAGAACCCGGCCGACCCAATGATCGTTGTCAGACGCAGTTTCAGGCTCGTATAGCCGTGGCCACGCCGTCTGAAACAAACCACGAGGTCGTACCGCAGGTCCTCTCGTGTGCAATAGTCTGAGAGCTGTTTGAGAATTCTCCTGGACACGAATTCCTGACTGCTATGGCTGGCGACTGGAAAAGGGGCGGATATCTATGTTCAATATATAGAAGGGACCAAAAGTTCGTGCAAAGTTTGAACCCCTAGACCAAAGCAATCGCCGGTAACGAGACGCTGAAGGTTGCGGGCCAAGGAGGCCTGAAATGCACGGCTGGCGAAGAATGCGTCATTCAATCTGCTTAGGCTGATGTAAATAGTGATCTTTTGCTCGTCTTTTGAGGCTCCAAGACTGTCCGATAGTCCCCGTGACACACCGTAAATTCGAACTTGTCTCCCCACAGGTGTCAGAGTTGCCAGCAACTGCCGCCTGAGGCAAGCTCAATCGTGTGAGCCGGGCCATGGCGGCCATCTCCCGATCGCTCAACAGCCTTTTCGTCTGTTAGGTTAGCTAAGATCCTTTGCCAGGGAGTCTGCAAAGGACGCATATGTCTATGACCGACACATGTCTAGAGAGGCAATGGGTCCAAAATCTCGGCGGCCAGCACGAATAACGGCGTTGCTTACAAAGCCAGAATTAAACACAAGTGGCTCTCGCGTCAGAATGCTTCTGGCCATATTTGCCTGTTTGTCTTTCCATCGGGCATTGCGCGATGCAACAACCAATAGATTCAATTTCATCAAAGCGCGGTCTTCTGGGGAAATGTCGCAGGCTAGAATGCTGATGACATGGCTCTTCCAGACAAGGTACAATGGATGGATTGGCTGTCGGGCAGCTTTGCTTTTTAGTAAAAGCCACACACTCGCGGAGGCCGTTGTTGAAGTGGTGACATTACGACCGACCACCAGTCTGCAAGATCTTCTCAATGTGCTGTCGACTGTTCTTGTATGTCGTCTCTTGGTAATGCAATTTCTTCTCCAATTCCGTGATATCCTTGCTCAGAGCGGCCGCTTCAGATGCCAGACGCTTATTCAGGGTCGACGCAGGAACAGCAATGAACCTGAGAGACAGTAGCGTCAGGTAACTAGCAGGTCATCGGGTCTTTGGCCAAGGGCTGCATACATTTTTCCGACTCCTTCATAGACGTTGGTGTCTTGGGGCAGGGATTTCAGCTCATTGGATGTCAGTTGATTGAGTCGGGCATCTCGCCGTTTGGCGTTGAGTTCTGTGTGCGTCTGCGTGATTTTTTGCTGGGAGAGCACCGCTTGAGTCTCGACTTCTTGAAGCAACTGCACATGTTGAGCGGCAAAGGACGAATTGGCGAGGGGCAAGAACACACCTTTTGCAACGCAGCATTGGGGATGGCCATGTTGAATGAGTGTTGAGTGCGAGGTGGTTGAAGATGAAGTTCGGTTTTGAGCCTCAAATCCAGGTACTAGCACCGAGTAACTCAGAGGATGACAGTTTGTCCGCGCCGCGCCCAGGGATAACCTGCTTGTTGGGACGACACGCGCCTGCCCACCTGGACGAGGGGCAACCGCGGGGCTGCGTGGTCTTTCCTTTAGGCTTCGGCCTTCCGCAGTCTAGGCATAGGCGGTTGCCAGGATCTCCGTCGGACCGCTTGGGCGGTTCAGGGCCTGCTCGCCTCTCAGCCGGTACCTCCCAGGTGTCTCTTCACGTGTCAGGGCAGCAAATGATCTGCCTGAGGCTTCACCCCTTCGGTCCGTTTAGCTCCTTGTCATGGCTGGATTGGGCCAGGCGACGTCATTTGTCCGCCCCCCAAGATAAACAAGTTGGACAAGTTTTATCGCCGCAGCTCCACTGCGAACATTTTTGTGCGTTGTAAGCACTTCCATATGCTCAACTGCGAAACCCACCCCTTCCATCCGCATCCGCAGTCAACTCCTTACTCTGTGCAACTGGTAGGAGTCTATACCTCTTAAAGACTGTGGAAAGTACCTCTTTGTCACTATGTTATCTCCTTGATCCCAATCCTCGAGACACCCGCGAACCTGTACTGCAACCCCCCCGTTACCAGGATGCCTTCATGGCTCCCCTCCATTCCATACCCCCCGCCAGGCCAGCCGGGGTACTGGCATCCCGTCACGAGCACTCTGCAATGGTGCGAAGAGGTACGAAGGCAACTTATCCGGTTCAGAGCATACCGAATTGTCGGGACTGACATGAGAAGGACTACTACGCCACGTACTACTCTGCCGAGATCGTCAATACCTTGACCAACTTGATGTTCATTTACCTAGCATATAAGGGCGTTCAAAGCTGCAGGAAACATGGGCATGATACCGTTTTTGAAGTGGCATATTTTGGATATTTCCTTGTTGGATTCGGCAGCTTCATGTTCCATACCACTTTGAAATGTGAGTCCCCACGGACGCAAGGTCAAATACTTCGCGTTTTGATCGGTGAACCTGACCCATTCTCCGTCTCCAGATCCGTGGCAGTTGGTCGACGAACTCAACATGATCTACACCACTTGCCTCATGGCTTACGCCTCGCTCTCCTACTCGCAAAGCAAAAAGACCCAAATCTATCTCGGCGTCTTCTTGGTGCTCTTCTGCGCCTTCATCACTGCCTACTACCACTACCTTCAAGACCCCGTATTCCACCAGACTGTCTACGCTCTTTTGACCGTTTTCATCGTTGTCCGCAGTGTCTACAGTATGGAAACGAATCTGCGACCGTCCTTGAGGAAGTCGGAAGAGAGGCACCGTCTAGAGCGAGAAAGGTCAGGGCTGCCTGTGGACATCTCGAGAGAACAACAAGCGTATGAGAATGAGAGAGATCTGGAAATACTAAGGACCATGTGGTGCCTCGTGGCGTTTGGGGTGAGCATCTTCCTTGGCGGCTTCTACATCTGGAATCTTGACAACCTATACTGTTCTACCTTGATACGTTGGAGGCGGAGTGTTGGCATGCCGTGGGGCTTCCTCCTCGAAGGGCATGGCTGGTGGCATCTCATGACTGGAATTGGCGCTTATTGCTATATTGTATGGGGCATACACCTGCGACACATCCTGAACGGAGACCAAGAACACTTCCAGATGGTCTGGCCTAGCATCTTCACACTGCCGGAAATTGTTCGAGTCTCTGATCCGCCGGGGCAAGGGAAAAGGAAGGCAAACGGTACTATTGCTGCTAGCGGGAGTGCCAATGGGACTGCAAACGGGACTGCACACGGCACTGCAAATAGGTGCGCAAATGGGAGTGCAAATGGACATATCAAAAAGACCAAATGAAATGTACGAATGTTAGGACACGAAATGGATGACACCTTGGTTCCGTGCGAACATATCACTGAGAGAAGATCAGCCTCCTTTTCCTCATGTTTCATTATCGACAGCGTGTCCTGTCTGACACTTCGACCGGAAATTGCGGATGCCTTAACAGATTTGACAACTCGCGCTGAATGTTACTTGCGCTTCGGTGGATACATGCATATGCTATGCACGACGTCACCATCCTCGTGGAGCCAAGAAGCGCCGACGGTCCGAACAACCTCCGGGGGACTTGTAGGGGATTCTCGCAGCCTTGCGGCTGGTTACACAAGTACAAAGGCACTGACTACAGCGGAGTATTGCGTGCTAGATCGAACAGTTAATTCAAGCCCTCTAGGCCGAGCTTTCCTAACTGTACGGGGTATTCTCTGTGGCACAACACATGCTCTTGACGGGGTACCGGTTCGTATAGATATCGCCAAGGGTTTAGCCGTTCAGTCCTTCTTACTATGATCCAATTTCACACAGGGAGCCAGATGTCCCGTGGTGTTCGTTTTCGATTTCTCCACGCCGATTTAATTGTTACATCGGTCCCGTGTCCCCAATTGAGACAAAGTCATTGGGCATCCCCAATACCAAAAGCCCTTGCATAGACCGCAATTGACATCTGATATTTGTGGCAGAGCCCCACGCTCTGGCCATAGCACGGCACGCAGTTAGACATCAAACTCGTTGAACCAGTGATCGCAGAGCTGCAGTAACAATCAGCCGTGACTCCTGACGAAGCGCTGACCGTGCCGAAAAAGTTGGCGCCGTTCTTGCCTATACAGATGCTTGCGCATTGAGCGTCGATATTGGCGGTTGAACTGCCTGTGAGTGTAGAGTTGAAGCCGCCGTTTGTGCTCGCGCTGTCGAATCCCTAGTTACCCAGAGCGACACATGTGCCGACAGAGTTGCAGCTTTGCGCCCAACATCCCAGATAGGCCGAATTGGATCGAATCTGAGCCTTTCTGTCTATTGCGCTGGTCGGCCCCGCCGGGCCGAATGGGCCGGATGGACATGAGGGACCTGAATAGTCTGTTACACCGGCAGCACCTTGAGTACCCTTGGGACCTGACGTACCTGACGGGCCGGTGGCACCTGGAAGACTTGACGCACCCGATGGCCCGATGGCCCTTGAGCACCATTTGGCCGCACAGTTCCTAGAACAATAAGGAGTGAGCTAGGTTCGAGAAATGGAAGACAAGAGCTTCTTAAATCGCCAATTCGTTTTCCCCGAGTGACTTAACCGGTAGCTCCGGTCGGGCCAGGAAT